AATATATGGAAGACAATATATTTTTAAATTTTTTTCTTGTGTTCTGTTTTTGGTGGCTACGGAGATTTGATAACCTTCTGCTGATGCAGAAATAGGAAACTAGCGATGAGGAAAGCTTGCTGTGCTGACTCAGCGCAGGTGGGCGAGGGAAGGGGATGCTGTTATGTAAAGGCTGCAGTTCTTTAACTCGGCTCTTCTAAGAATTTGCTGCAAAACCCGTGTTTTGCAGCTTGAAGAAGGTGCATGCAAAACATCAAGAAGTGCCTGTTCTGAAACTGGGGTTCACGTGCATTAAGAGATGGTTCTGGGTGGGATCGTTCCCTGTGCAAAGGAGAGGTAACTCTGTGCAGTCAGACCTTGCCAGGCAGGGGACTCGCATGTCAGTTGTGTAACGGCTACCAAAAGAAAGCAAAGGAACACAAAAATGGCAAGCGGTGTTATCAGTGATACGCTGGCAGTATTTCATGTGGTCTTGACTTGTCCCTTCTCTTTGGAAGCTGGCTTCGAAGGCCATGCAAGCCTACACAGGTCTTTCAGTAGCCCTTGTTCCTGTCATTTGAGTCCTCTTCTGGCTGTATATTAATCAGCCTTGGTACAAGTCCTTTGCAGGTATGTGTTTTCACCTCTCCGAGACTGTCACTGAGTTCTTTTGAGAGATTTTTGTCTCAACTGAAGTTTCAGAGAAGCCTTATTGAGACTCCGGTGCCCCAGCTGACGTCCCTAAAGCAGGCTCTCCCTGGGCAGCCTGTGCTGGGCTCTCAGCCTCACCTGAAGCCAAATCTCCATTTTTCTTCCTGGCTGCAGGACAAATCGCAGACTGCGGAGGCTGGAAGACTTGCTGGTGCATACCTTGAACCTCGGATCCTGCTGTAAGCTAAGGGCTCTCTTTTAGTGCTACGTACTATCTCCAACCTCTTCCAGGGTGCTTTTTCTGCACTCTTGTAGGTGACGAGTAGGAATTATTTTTTCCTTCCAAGCTAAAAATGTTTCCTCTCATCACATAAGCTAATTCCACACCTTGTTATATGCCCTTGAAGTTGCATGTTATCCTATCAACCACTGCTCGGGATGGGCTAGTGTCTGAGAGATTAATGAGTCTTGAAAGAAGCTGGCCGCATCCCGTAGAGGACGGGAGGTGACAAAGTTCTTGGCAGTGGGATGAGACCACCAGGTTGAGGAGGAAATGCTGATTGTGAAGAAATGTGGAAATGTAATGTTGTTTGGGCTGGTGTGTGTATTAGTTGTCCCACGCTACCAGGTGTGATAGATGGTTTGTAAGGGGAATACATACCATCTTTGTATTTTTCTGTTTTGATTTAAACTTGCATACCTATGAGGCAGTGGTTAAATGATTGTATTAGCTGAAATTACTGTATTTCCCAAGTAATTGTTCTGATTGGGTCATTCAGGAAATACCGTCGCTAAAATTAGTACTGCCCAGACGTATGTAACCCAGGCCTTAGTCACCGTGACGGGCAGGTTAGGCGCAGAAGGGCAAGAACCTACCTTGCAAATGGGTGGCTGCTCTTCATGGCTTTAATTAAGGGCTCTTAAAAACACTTTTACAGAAGCTTTTTTTACCTGACTTCCTAGAGCATATAAGGGCAGTGTTTTCTATTCACGTGCTTGATTTCAATGAACTTGTTCTTCCCCAGTGATCTCAGAGACACTTGTGTTTTGTAAACTTTGCTCTCTATAGCAGTGCTGTTAATGAACTTTAGCTGCTTTGTGTGCTCATGTTCAAATGAATTTGTGGTTACTGGGGATTTGGCTGCTGAGTGAGCCAAAGGGTGGGGAAAGGAGGGCTTTGATAACGGGCTGTTTGAAAGCTGCTTCAAGAAAAATAAATGGTACCGTACTAACTTTGGTGGAAGAGAGCAGAACATAGTATTTCACAATTTGCGCTCGGTTATTTTCCATTGCTTTTGTTACAGGTACTGTGTAAAATTTGTTCTCAGTAGCACATCAAGTGAAACATCTTCCTCTCTCCACAGATACAATAATGGTATTTAAAAGTCGTTAGCAAGTTGGATCCTGCACAGCAGGATGTCTTGCTGGAGTCTCAAAATAAGCTTTTGCATACACAGTTTGCAGTTGTGATTTATATATTTTTCTTGTCTGTTACAAATAGTGTATACTTTCCAAAAAGTATAGGAGTTAAGAAAAATCTTAGACTGGACAGTAAGCTTAATTTTGGTATAAAAATTACTTTAGCACATAGGTTACACTTTAAGTGGCCTTTGGAGCTTGTTTTTTATTTTTGCTGGTATTTTTTGAGACTTTGTACATGCTGGCATGGGTTGTTTTACCTGCAGCCTCTGTAACTATCCATTTAAGTAAATCATAGTGAAACAGCAGCGATGTTAAACTTCAGTTACATTTAGCCATAGCATCATTCTTAAAGCCACGTTTTACTTTATTTTTGAATTCTTTAAACTTTAAATATAGCTGTGGCTAGACTTACGGTAGTGAGATTTTAAAAGTTAGCATTCTTGATTAATCAGTATTTCCATTATGAAATGTAATGTTGTGAGCGGTTAGGGTGACGTCAGTCTCCCAGCAAATATATCTTTATCACCATCTATAAATAGACTGCGAGCTATTGCGGAAAGCACTTCCTTGTACCGAGAGAAAAGGTTTCTGAAAGAAAGGAAACTCAGTACAGAGCTGGCCACGGTCGCTGCTGAATGTGGATAGACATTGTCCCTCGATGTGACTGCGGTCACCCGAGGGACACGGCTGGATAACCCTCTCCCAGCTCTCCTCCACTGCTGCTGTACATAAGAGGTTCTCCGTAGCTTCACAGAAAAGCTGAGAAGGATGTAAATCTTCGGGTTGGAGAGGATCTCGATGTAACTTGCAGGATTAGACCAGCTGCTTGCCTTGCCCAGTAACCCCAGTATTAACACCAAAGCCTACTAATGTGGAATGCACTTTATACATACAATTGGTTGGGAAATGAGAATTGTCGCTTGCTGTGCTGGCCGTAGTAGTTGCTCATAAAACTGTAAAGTCTGAATTGTGATGTGTAAGCTCGGAGATCGTAAATTCTCATGAGACTGCTGCATAACTAAAATAAGTAATAAAATACCTTATAAATGTGTTTTCTTGAGATACAGCCAGTTGCAACTCTAGTTAACTGCTTTATAGCCTATTGTTAATCATAGGGACAAAAAGTCACGTTTTTTGACTGGGGCTTGTACGAAACTTGATTGTAATTGTTTTGGGGGGGGTCACAAGGGATTGGATGACAACATTGATTCTAGACTTTTTCAAAAGGACCCTCACAAACCTCCTCTTAAATACAAGGGAGTTGTGTTCACCCTGTCATGGGCATTCTTGCTGAGCTCCAGATGTGTCAGTCTTACCATTTCATGGGTGCATCCAACTTGCACCAAGAGGTGCCATGACACTCGGCCCTGCAGCTGCTCCCACTTATCACAGAGTAAACAAAAAAATCCCTATTTCTTGCAGGCGTGTGCCAAGGGTCCTGATGAGCAGCTGCAAGGCTGCAGGTTAACGGCTGCCCTGGCTGGAAGGTGGAAGGCAGCACTGATCCTGCATCCATGCTGCTGCGGCTAGATTGCTTTTTATTTATTTATTTAAGCTACTTTTATTAAGCTACTTATTTTCAGTAAGGCTGCCAGTCACAGCCATGAAATGAATGCGCTACTCTGTCTTGATGAGCTGCTCAGCTGGGCAGGGGCTGGTCTTGCCTTAGCCCTACAGCCATCTCAGCGGAGACAACTGCATAACTATAGACCTAGACATGTTATATGCACATAAATCTGTGTGTATCTCTCCATATAAAAAAAACATGCAAACATGCATATATAAAAAACCCCTCTATATATATATATAGGCACACACAGAGATACGTGTATCTATACACATAGAGAGAAATGTGACACTCTGTCGCTGTATTTATGTATACGTATACCTAGATACATAGAGACATGTGGGCGGTGGGTGCTGGGCCACATCACACATCACCATCTCACCCCCGCCCCTATGCTTTAGCTAAATCCTTCGAGACAATTTATTGCCTTTCTCTGCCCCACGATTCAGGGCCAGATTGCTTCACCTAGCAGAGCCCTGTGCCATGGCCCTGGCCCTGGCATCAGCCCCCTTCCCCACCAACAAGCTGACCAGGCACGACAACATGTATTTTAAATATTGCTTCTTTAATAATCTACATCGTGGTAGTAGCTCCAAGGGAAGATACAGCTGACAGGGTTTTTCTTCTGCCCCCATGTCTCTTCACATCAGTAATTCCTTATTGCTGCAGACTTCTCTATCCCCTGGCTCCCATAGGCCATGGTTAGATTTAATTCTGCTAATTATCTTAAATATAAAACATAATGTAACTGATCCCCTGACATTGCTGTAGTAATAAAAAATAGAAAAGGAAAAAAAAAAAAGTTTGTATCCTTATTGCCAGTGTGTGCCAGTAACTGCTTTTTCCCTTAACAAAAGCCCTGCTCCCTGTGACGGTTAAGGCTAACATCTCCCTCTCTGCTGAGGGCTGATCCCATGCCAAAACAAAGTCAAATTATTCCTCAGGCTGAAAAAAAGGGAATTTAAAAAATGGTTGCAAGAAAAGCCCAACAGTTTCCTACTTTAAAAACAGTTCACAGTTCTTTGAAAGGGTCTAAGCAGTACAGTAGAACGCTACATTTACGGAAAACTTCTAGTGCTGATAAAGTTTTTTTTTTTAAAAAAAAAAAAAAACAAACTTAACCCAAATGAACCCCAAATTAAATTAAACCAGGAGAGCCAGTTGGCAGGCCAGGAGGAGGAGGGCATCCTGGGGAGCCGGCAGGAGCCCTCCTGCTCTACGGATAGGAATCAAGTGAAGAAAAAAATAAAATAAAATGTATTTTTTTTTAAAAAAAATCCAGTTTTCCAGGCCGGGTGGTGAGGAGACCCCCGCCCTCCCCGTGCATGAAGGCACACCAGTGCGAAGGCAATGATGTGAGCTGTTGAAGACCCAGCCCCTGCTAGAAGTTCGCCCTGTGAGGCGGGCATAGGCCGGCGTCTCGCTCCGGCTGAAACGAGAGGGGGAATAAAGCAAAATTATCGGTCACTTGTGCTGTGAACACCCCTTCCCCACCACGTACAGTTACTCCCTGGGGACCTTACCTCCCCGTGGCCGGGTTTCTGGGCCAAGGGGGGTTTCTTGAGGATGCCTCGCCTGGGGGCCG